GAAATGGCCCTCACCAGATATCATATCTGCTGGTGCCCTGACCTTGGACTTCCCGATTTCCAGAACTATGGGAAATGAATGAAGTTTCTGTTATTGATAAGCCGTTCTTTTTGTTGCAGCAATACAAACAACTAAAGCACACACTGCCTCCTTATACCTCGAGTCTGTTTCCTGTATGTTTTATCATCCAGTTTATACAAATCAATGCTAGGAATTAAGTATCCATTTATTGTAAGTGGAGTCTTAGCCCACTTGAATGTCAGTCTTCCTCTCTTACCTTCTCCTGTTCTGACCAATCTTCTGACAAATCTTTCTTAGTTAGGGTTTCTATTGCCATGAAGAGATACTATGACCACAACAACTCTCCTTTTCTTGTAAAGGAAAATCATTTAATTAGAGTGGGTTACATTTTCAGAGGTTTAGTCAATTATCATCATGGTGGGACAGGGTGTCATTCAGACACACATGGTACCGGAGAAATAGCTGGGTGTCCTACCTCTTGACTTGCAGGCAACAGGAAGTAGTCTAAGATACCATGTGTGGTTTGAGAATATGAGACCTCAAAGCCCAACTCCATGGTGACACAACTCCTCCAACAAAGCCACACCCACCTCAAAAAAGCCACACCTCCTAATAGCACCACTCCCTTTGGGGGTCATTTTCTTTCAAATCACCACATTCTACTCCCTGGTTCCCAAGGCTTGTCGCCATATTATAGTCCAAGAAACGCATTCAGTCCAATTTCAAAAGTCTCCATGGTCTATCACAGTCTCAAACTTGTTTAAAAGTCTGAAGTTCAAAGTCTTTTCTTAGATTCATGCAATCTCTTAGCTGTAATCCTCTGGAAAATAAAAGTCAAAAAGCAGATCACATATTTCTAACATGTGATGGCACAGGATATACATTACTATTCCCAGGGAAGGGAGAATAATGAGGAAAGTACAGGACCAAAGCAAGACCAAAAACCAACTCTGCATCTCTGTGTCTGATGTCAAAACACTCCAGATCTCCAACTCCTTTCAGCTTTGTTGACTACAACACACTTCTTTCACTTGGGCTGGTTCCTCTCCCTATTAGCAGTTTTCCTCAGCAGGTATCCCACTCTGGCATCTCCAACCTCTTGAGCTCTCCAAGGTAATCCAGGCTTCTTCTTCACAGCTTCATACAATGACCTCTCTGGGCTTCCATTCAGGGACACCCCTGACACATGCCTGGCCTCAGCAGCTTTTTTTTAGCCACAGAGACAAATTCCATAGCTTCCCTCTATCTCTAACTCCAGAACCATGTGGCTGAAGCTGTTAAGTTCTGCTGCTTCCTGGGCCTGGAACATGGCCCCCTTTTTAAATTACATCTTCACCAACTTTCTCGTTTTAGTGGTTTTCTTCAATGGCTAAGCTTGAGTGTCCTGAAACTAGATCTCTAGGCCAGGCTGGCCACAAACTCAGAGATCCACCAGCCTGTGCCTTGCTGGGATTAAAAGCATACACCACCACACTTGGCTGTAAGCTTTTCTTTAATTCCTTTTCACAACTTGGGAACTTAGCTGGGTGGGATCTTACCTTGAGGTCACCACTCCCTTTATTCCATTTCTTAATCTGTTTATCTCATTGAATACAGGGCTTAGCTCCATTTCACTTTATAGTGCTTTTTTCTACTCAAATAATTTTCATTGCTCAGATTGCTCCTTTTCATTATATATCTTCATTAGAGTTAACACTAGTAACCACACAACAGAGTCTATGCTAGCTGTTTTGAGATTTTTTTTTTCTGCCTAGGGAATTAACCAAAATTTCTTCACTTTAGCCTTAGGCAGACTCTCTGAACAAGGGCAAATGGCAGCCAATTCGTACACCAAATATCACAAGAATGATCTCTAGGCAACATACTAAAATTCTTCTCCTCCAAAACCTCTTGAGCCAACTCCCCACAGTTTAAATCACTTTTAGCACCACTGTCTTGCATGCTTCTACTAGTATGGCCCATTAAGCAGCACTGGAAGCATTCCACTCCTTTTGTAACCCGAACTCCCAAAGTCCCTATTCCTCCAGACAAAAGCATGGTCAGGTATATCACAGCAACACTCCAGTCCCTGGTATCAACTCCTGTCTTTATGAGAAATTCTTTTGTTGTGAAGAGACACAATGACAATGATAACTCTTATATAGCAAAAACATTTAATTGGGGCTCTCTTACGTTTTGAAAGATTTAGTCCACTATCATCATGGTGGGACATGGAGGCATGCAGGCAGACATAGTGTTGGAGAAGTAGCCAATTGTCTTACATCTTGACTTGCAGGCATCAGGAAGTGGTTGGAGACACTGGATGTGTCTTGAGCATATGTAAGACCTCAAAGTCTGCCTTCACAGTGACACATTTCCTCCAACAAGGCCACATCTCCTAATAGTGCCATTCCTTTTTGTGAACGTTTTCTTTCAAACCACCATAAAACCCATCACCAAAAGTCCTTTTAACTAATAAACTTCATGAACCCCACACACTCATACATGGAAATGTCCCATAAACAATAATTAAAATGTGGAAATATTATTGTTTTCCTCTATCAAGGCAACTGTTAGTGTGTGGTATGCCTTTCAAAGACTTATACTGGAGGTATTGCTTATGTCTATTACTATTACAGGGGCTTGAGATGTAGCCCAGTGATAGAACACTTGCCAAGCATGCACAAGACTCCAATTCAGTTTCTGGCACTGCAAACCAAAGGAAAGCTAAGTGAGACAAAAGAAAAAAGGAATTTTAGTACATACACCAAGGTGATAACTTTTGTAAAAGCTAGCATCTCCAAATATCTATGAGAGACTGACAGAAGGTCATTGCCCACTGTTGGTTGGTTACATTATAGACAATTTCATAGCTATTGCTGAAGATGCTATTTTGTAAGGTCTAACATTGCCATTTTAATGTGTAGAGAAATGTGAAAATGTGTTACAGTGACTATTGCTGTTATTACTGGTGAATAATTATGAGAAGTGGGTTTTTTAGTTTGTTTATTTCATAGTAGATATTTAGATGTAGGAAATTAAGATTATCATTTTATATGGCAAGGTTGGAAGGATAAACAAGTATTCTGATGGAAAATTTATCAGGTGCCATCCTATTGGCTCTGAATTAAACACTAATTCTTTTCTTTGCCCTCACTTCGCAGACTGAAACCTTTGGCAAACAAAATCTGTTTTATTCCTTGTGACTGAATGTTGACGGGAAATATAGGTCCTTTCAAGAAAAATAAACAAATGAAGCTCAGAATATCCTGAAGGCAGGGCATGGATATGTGAACACACACACACACACACACAGAGAGAGAGAGAGAGAGAGAGAGAGAGAGAGAGAGAGAG